CATCCTCCAAGTAGGTGCTAAGCCTCCATAACAACTTGACAAGCTCCACACTCCTGGGATCAAACTCTGCAAGGGTGTACGTTTTAACATGAAGTCTCTTTAACAGTTAGTCCTCCAAGACCCCGAATACTTTCCACCTCAACTTAGCAGAAAAATAAGCTACCTCCACATCTTTCAGGAGGTACCTGATCCATGACAGGACTGGAGCCTGTACTGCTTTTTTCAATATTGAGCATTCACCTTGAACAGTTTTCTGCCCTATGTTAGGGGCAGAAGGGATAAATCCATCATTAAAATCCCAAATCAATCCACAAGGGAACATTTTTGAAAAGACAAAACAAGTATGAACCAGGTTCACAGTGCTGGTTCAGCTTCCAGATGCTCTCAAATCTCATGTTTTCCTTTTGGGTCCAACCCAAAATTTCCCACACCTTTGCAATTTCATCCCACCCTGGGTTCACACGTATTCCTGGGCTCCTGTGCAGGTTCTGAGAGAAGGCTGGTTGTTAAATTATTCACTTCATTCAAACACGCTACAATTTTGGCCTGTAAAGTATGTATCTAAATTAATGAGGTATGCAACTCATTCAGGCACATTAGGAAAACTGATCATTATGCTATACAATTTGATCACTGAAGTATATTAAAAAGTAACAAGTAAAGTATGCAGCTTGATCATTAAAGTATGGAAAATTTACTGAACTAGTAAAGTATGAGCCTAGGATGACTTTTGTCTCAAATGGCACCTCATAAATAAAACCCACAACCACAAAGGCAAACATTCACAAACCCAAAAGCCATACAGGTTTAAGCTGTATTTTTTCGCTAGAAAACAGCTGAATAAGGGGAGATGAAAAAAATCTTGCGGAAATTATTTCTAAATGTTTTATGCATCACATGGATCTTTTGATGGCTTTGACATATGTTGATGAGCTTTACATTCTGATTAACTCTCTAGAATACACATTACAGCAGCTGTATATAAGCAGGATGCCCACTGAAATACAGCTCTGTACAGGTCTAGGGCTATACTGGACGAAAATAGAATTAAAGAAATGTAAAGTATTTTAAGCAATATGATTGCATCTTAATATTCAGATAAGAAAGAACCAAGGTGTGGCAGTTAGTTTTGACATTGCTAACCAAGTGCAGAAGAGCTGAGGAAGGAGACGGAGAGGACATTGTCTTAGGTGGGATGCTATTAACCACCAATGGACTCTCTGAGGTTATTTGTAAAAGTCCAGACCCTGGATCTGGGAATATGCATCATGAACTTTTCTTGACTGACCTGCCAGTCTTGTGATTAATAAGGCCTGAGTGGAGCTATTCTGCATTAGGATAAGTGGCTAATGCAGTCCAGCCTAATGAAAGGTGCACTTGGGAATCAGATGTCGTCGTCGTCCGTCCCCGTCCCCCCCAAAAAAAAAAAGTACTCACATATCCTTCCTCACACTGAACTATTTCAGCTGTGGAAGGGAAAAAAAAGTAAAAAATGTATTAAAAGTGATAGTCCAGGGCATGCTGGTCAGGTCTAGAACAGCAAGGTGTCCATACAGGATCAGCAGAGCTGCGTTATAGTGGGGAGTATATGGGGAAAGGAAGGATTATGATCAGGGCCAAACAACTTGTAGTTTAGCCTTTTTGGAGCTGAGAGTGCTGAGTGATTTGCACTTTGCAGTTTAGTGTACCTTTATCTGTCAAGTCCAGCAGTGAGTAGAAAGAGAGCAGGTCAGTTTGAGGAGATGACAGAGAGAAGGGACAGACCATCACTTGTGCCCATTCAAGGGCAGGAATTGAGATAACAAGGGGTATGCTGACACGTGCATCTCTCAGCTGACAAAGGGAATTACTGGAGTGTGTAGAAACATATGCAGCAAAGCTTTTTTTTTTTTTTAAAAAAAAAAGGATTTCACCTTAAATGATGAAATATGGAAATCAGATTCACTTTCAGGACTTCTTTGCAGAAAAAATTGCAGAACGTTTCAATATCAAATCAGTCATTCAATTTAGCTTTGTCCTGCATTTTCTGTGTCCACACTAAATTCTCCATTTTTGTTTGTGTTTAGCTTCCTGTTCTGAGTTTCTCTGCAGTCTGGCTCATGCTGCAGAGTGCCGTCTTCACCAGCTGAGTGCGTTTTGTTGTCAGCCAGTTCCAACTAATCAACCTGTCTGCAAAACTGCAGGCTTGTTTGTTCATCCTCGATGCTCCTCCTGTCAGAGACAGCACCCCTCTTCTCTTTGGATCGGTACCCGTGAGAGGATTCCCCCAGTATAGCAAGTTCACATGTCTTCTTGAAGCCTGGCACTGGGAGGAGTGTACCTCAAGGTCCCAGGACTGAGGTTGAGGAGTAGTTTTTGCTATTCGCTAGTGAAAAGCATGGGTACGTCGTCACTGTCTCCATCTTTGTTGGGCATGTTGCTGGTGGAGATTCTACAGAACTACATCCACTTGCTCTCACGTCACATTGCACTCAGCAGCAGCTGCAACATTCCCTTCCTGCTAAATACAAACAAAACAGCTTCTTTGTGATCTCGGAAACTATTCCTAAATCAACAGAGGGGACAGCTCTGACACAGCTTAGCAGCTCCATGAATGGAGGGTGGCTGTGCCGTGACTCCCCAAACACTGATTTACCTGGGAGTGATTAAATGCGCGGAGTGCAATGCTGTGGTCTATCTGTTGTGGCTGTATAGTTTCAGAGCTCAAAAAACCCCTGCAACAGAAAGTTGACATCCTCAGTCTTTCCACAACCTTGCTTCCTAAATTCAGCAGTGTTACTAGCCCAGCCCTTGTGCACTGCATCAAGGCGTGGGGAGCTGAAGTTCATTTTACTGCCATGACCTGCCTATGAAATTGCACCAGGAATACGTCAGGACCTGCTCTACAGAGGTGGTGCTTTTCCCTGTCCTGGGGGTGGGAGTTTTACAGGTTTATTCATTTCTCACTATCCTCGTCTGTTGAACCTCAGAGGCCTCCTGTTCTGGGCCACAGATTTGATCAGACAACTGTCTGTCATCAGTCATGACCCCTTGCACCAGCAGCGGAGATTAGCAGGCCTGCTGATTATGTCCCTGCCTTCAGCCAACAGCACCACAAAATTCGTCTGTTCTCATGTAGAACAGCTGTGCTCCAGGGAGATACCCCTTCTGGGATACCTGCATGTTGGCATCTATTTTCCAGTATAACATCTGCCTCAGGTTGAGGAACGTTAAAGCTTTCCTTATGCCATGAGCTAACTCCATGTTTCTCTTTATCCATGGTGAAACTGGTTTGAAAATTCCCCTTCCTTGCCCCTGCTCTCCTGTGCAGTGCTCTCCCCATTACTACAATGTGCTGTGCCTCATTGTGCTGGGGTATCTGTTTTGGGGTCTTTCCCTGTTGACAGCGCCTGCCAAAGCTTTACCTCTCTTTCCTTCTCTCTTCTGAGTAATGAAGAAAAGGGTCTAATGGAATTTTAAAATGGCAAATGGTTCCTTGGGAAGGAAACCTTTTTTTCACTCTATAATTACTAAGAGAGGAGGAAAAGGAGAAAGTAGGGATTATTGAAAGTAAGGAATATAGTATTAGGTCATCAGACCTACTTCTGATGGATTAGACAGTGCCGGGGAGACAGAAGCAGGGAAGCCTCGCTGTGGCTCCTGCTTCTCTACCCATCCTACCTAGGCTTCGTATTTCGTATTTATTTAATCCAATAGTTATTTTAATTACATTTAGAGGAATGTGGCTTTTTTCTAGACAAGGCAGAGCTTGGCACGTGCGCCACCTTTGACTTATTGTGTCAAATCATTGTGTCAAACCATCGTGTGCCGTTACATATTCTAAACACTACCAGGAATATTTTATCCTGCAAATGTGACCTCGAAACTTGAATTTGTTGCAAACAGTTGGCCAAAAGGAATATGGTACATTACAGAATGACCCTCAATGGAGTTTTCATCTTTTATTTATAATTGGGTTTATTATTGCAAGCTCCTGTTGCACACCAGTTATCAAATCCTCAGCAGGCGTAAATCAGCACTCAGGTTAATGGAGCTAGACTGATCACTGCCAGATGAGGATACAGCTCTACTTGTAACCCAAGGATAAAATACAAGCTTCTCTATAGTGCTGAGACTGCGAGCTAGAACTTGGCGGCTGATGAATTACTGGTTATCTGAACATGAGAAGAAAATGCATTTACACCCCAATCCACGCTCAGACAACTAACTCTGCTGCTTCCACACATCTTTAAGGAAGAGCATTTATGGAAAACCACTTGAACATATGTGTTGCTAGGGTAAAGGAGGGCCCATGGTCTAAGCACAGTAGCCTCTAAAACTGTGTAAACTGTCAAAAGGATAATTACTTCTGGCAAAGGTCATTCTCACGTACAAAAAGGAAAATGCATCCTTTTTCAGGGGGAGATACAAGGGCATTCTTGTGTAAGCGGTTTCCCAAGACCTTTGCTTTCTGAGCCTCCCCAGAAAGGGAGAGAGGTCAGACTTGTGACAGGGCAGGGAAGAGGACCAGAGAAATTGTAATTTATCTTGATGTACCGATTTACTTTCTAATTAAGAATTCCTCTTAATGGAAATTCTTCCAGAAATAGGAAGGAGCTGCAAGAACAGAGCTTCACTGAGCAGGTGTGGGTGGAGGAGCCTTCTTTTATTACTAATCAGCATGGTTATGCCATTTATAGAAAAGGACATGAGGCTGTGCAGGGAACTTTCTAAAGAAGAAAAATAGAGCCCTGCTTTGAACAGCAAGTGAGCTACATAGGGTAGCCCATAAGAAAAGCCTCGTAATAATGCCCTCCATTACCAGTGCCTTGGTGAAAGCAGGAGATGAAAGTGGATTTACATGGTCGTCTCAAGGTACTCTCAAATTCTGTTAGGAAGGGGAAGAAAGCCTGTGAAGAGCTGAGCAGGACAGTCAGTTAATCTGGACTTCACAGCCTACGGTGGCAGTGGGCATCTGGCCATGGCGTGGGGCAGGTACTGCTCAGAGACCGTGCGGTACTCTGAGAAGCTACGGAGTGGGCTGCAGAGTCCTGGCCCCTGGACTCCTGAGTGATATCCACACAGAGCTTGAAGGGATGAGTGGAGCAGGCAGCAGTGTATATCAGGAAACCAGCTAAAAGAGAAGTAATCTCTTTCTCATGCAACAAAAACTCTTCTATAAATGATGTGTAAGCACTGCTAGGACATGCGCTGCACAGCTCTTAGGCAGCTTCGCTCCTGTTGCTCCCTTTTGAGGTTGAAGTGAGAGACAGCAAAGCTAAGATATGTACCTGCGCTGTGCATAAGGTTAGTTTCAAATGGAGAAATGGCACTTAAATGTCCAGATGCCTGAGCCAGAGTCTGAGATTTTAGGCTCAGCTCTGTTATTTCAGCTAAAGGTGATTATTTTGGCTGCAGATGATAGAGTCACAGAGATACGCTGAATGTACTAACTGCATGTAGTAGATGAATATAACTGAATATAAACTGAATACAACCAAACATAAAAGGTTTTCTAGTTTCAGGCTGTGGTTTACAGGAAGAACAAGTGATTTTTTTATTTATCTATTGGCTCTCTAACCATCTTAAGATCAAAGTGCTTTCGGTCTCGTGACATAAACAAAAAACTTTTGAAATTAAATATATTAGGAAAGCTTGCACTTACAAAATACATTTCTTTAAAAGGTTGCAGCACAGTAACACTCTCCATAAGTCTTCAGCTTCATTACAATAATTAAACACAGTGGTGCGGTGTTTTTTAGTTGCAGTAATAGCAGGCAGGCAGAAAGTGCACCCTGTGCTGGACCGTGCCCGGCAATCTTCATTTCCTGACTACAGCACGGACCGGCGTCCCCGTCTGTATGCACGATTACACTTCTCATATTTTTTCTCTTAATAAAGCAGCCATAATGTCTGTCCCATACATATGTTTTATGTAAAGCACGGTTAATACTGAAAAGTGTTATTTGCATCTGAAGATAGTGGAGTCTTTTCTGATTAGGATGCAGGTTTCTTGCAGTTCTGTAAGAAACATATTTTCTTTTCCATCCAGTTATAATGATCATGTGAGATGTGACAAGGAAACAGGAGCACAGGACCAAAAGCCATCTGTTTCTTTTTTGGTATTTCATATTGCATGGAGCAAGAAGGTGGCAAAGCTTATATGCTTAAACATGGGGATATAAAATATAATAGTAACATTTAGCATGCTCTAAAGAAACGTCTTTGAATCAAAACCAGATATTTTTTTGTTTTGTTTTACCAGGACCTCTTACCACAGCTATAGTAAAACTGGCTGCCACTTGTGTTTGTGAAAACTTTGCTTTCAAGATATTTTACATATTTAGTTTAGACACTGCAGTGGGTATAAAGTCGGCTTTCATTCCTGAAAATAAGTAGTTTCTTCTTCAAAATTCTGGTACTGCGTTTTATTATTATTATTATTGTTATTCCACATTGTGCCATTCTTAAGACTAATTTTATAAGTAAAACTTGGTTTCATTTTAAAAATTGAAGTTTGCTGCTACTTCGGAAGGTTGAATGTAAATGTTGAATAGACTTCATTGATATTTAATTTTATGAAATGTAGCTGTTTGCATGCACAGTGAGACTTTTTATACTCTCAGGTATGCCCATATCAAAGCCTAACAGTGCTTTTCTTTGCAGTTTATTCCAACCAACTGTACTTTGTCCTTTTTATTTCTGCTTGTCATATGACCTTCTGCTGTATTTGCTCAAAGTGTGGATTTCCACCCTGCAGAATGATGCATAATGGGGGTTTAGTTAGCAATAAGCTCCAGTGGCAGATTTTAGAAGCCGTACACCAGTGTTAGATTTGAAAGCAACACACTGAAAAAAAGGGGTTGTGCACATCTGGTGCTATCATTAACACACTTGTACGCAACTCCCTCTCTGCTTTCCTCTCACATATTCTGTACCTTTGCAGCCTTCCACTGCATCGTTTAGCTGCAGTATCCCTACCATGGATGACCAGATTAAAAAGTACCGCCATAAATATACCTGAAACTTAGAAAGGAAAGGGAAATAATTGCCCTCTCTTTCATCTCAGGCCTGAAGTGCCTTTTCAATCAAAGAGATTTCCACTGCTTGCTAAAGACTATTCAGATGAGAAGAATGCATTTGGGATATTTGGGCTAGTTAGCGCTCACTTCCCTTTTTTCTGCATTAACAGAATAGCCCTCTTTGTAAGATCACCCAATTTTTTAGACCTTTGTAAAAGTCTAGGTCAGTCTTGGAATCCTGTGCTTTTGTTGGCCTGTCACCAGTTGGATCACATTTATAGAGAGTCTATTTTTTCCCTTAACTACTTGCATAGCCCCTTTTCTCTTTTGTGGTGCAAGCCAGAATTCCTGGAAGCAGGTTTTACTGCCTGCGGGATCTTGAAGGCCGCCTTCTCCATGGACATTTCCCTCTTCAGCTGGCTGAATGCCATACCGCGATGCCATAATGCCATAATTTATTCAGTGGATCCATTACTGATTCTCTGTGTATGTTTTTTGTCTAGACTGAGGAAGGGCAAAAAGTCATTCCACCTAAATCTTCTTGGGAGCTGTCAGAGAGAGGCATCCTCTCACAGGTACAAGAAATAGTGACTGCTGGCTTTAACACAATTGCACAGGAGTTTAAAGATATTGCCTCTTCAAAAGAGAATACAGTATCAAAAGAGGAGTTCTGGGATATATGTAACCGACATCATCAGCTGACTGAAGAACAAGTAAGAAAACCGTATTATTTTGTCTTGTTAATTTAAGTGTACAACTGGGTGAATTGGCTATGGCTAGAGACATGTGTTTGCATACTGTTGTGTATAGGCAACTAGTTTAAAAATTTGGATGAAATGAAAATGTTTTAAGACTATCATTCCATGAACATTTGTTGCTACATTTGTGGGAGGTTATTTTTTTCCTTATCTCTGAGTACGGTTATGAACTATAATAATCGCAGGCTTTCTAAAGCAAAGTCATGGAGATGCTATTGCTAATAGTGAAGGTGTGAATTTAAAGCACAGTAGTTCTCTTTCACTAGCTCTTTATCTGTATATTTGCTATTTTAAAAGTTTCTTTTTTCAGTTTTCAGTTAATCCACTTCCAGTTGATGGGGGGAAAAGCCTTCTCAGCATGGAATAAAAAGTATTTCCATGGGGAGCTAATGCAAATTCCTTTTTCTCAGTAGCTATTTTGTCCTGCCCTCCCTGGACAAAGAAAGGGGCAAGCATTTGACATTTCCCGGCCACCTCTCAGCTACTTTTCTGGGGTAAAGATTCCCCCAGATTAGCATCAGCAGAGTTTATGTAACCTTGAATTTAGCTTGAGTGACTGAAGTCATGGCGTGAATCTGGCAGTACAAACCACCCAATTAGTCCAGTGCTAATGTCAGGGGAAGCTGAGGGGCCAGTCATAAGATTCTGCTTCTGCTGAACTTAATTGTAAGACCCATTTTTTTTACATTTGTTAATGCTGGTTCAATGTGATTTTTCCTAGTCCAAAGACTAGGTGAATAATAAAACAGGGAGAACCTTGACTAAAAGATTTCAGATTTTACTTAACAGTACTCTAACCTTCATGCTCACGGTTGCATCAATGCTGTTTGGTAACAAACAAAAAGACAAGACAGAGAGCCTCCAAAAATGTACGCACGTCTGCACTACAGAAAATTGTTTTGGTACTTTGCTCATTGCAGATATACCCTCTGAGTTCTTGGCCCAGCATTTTTGACTATAAATTGCAGACAGGAGCGGGGCCTGATTGTAATTACAGCAAAGAGATTGCACAGCCTGCCATGTTATCAGGTGACATTGCGCTTGTGTAAAGTTGCAGATGAAAGCACTGAAAAAAAATATATTTTCCACTTCCGCCTTGAAAATAGCAAAAAAAAACCCCAAATTGGCTTGGTGCTCTGTTCGTAGCAGCCACACTTCTGGTGAGGTACCAAGTGCAAGTGTCAGATCTGAACCTGAAGCCTCAACGCTGGGTTTAAGTAAAAGAGAAAATGTGGTGATACTCTTTCCTCACCCCTGTGAACCACTGAGTGGAAGCACTGGGATGAGCCCTGGCTGAAGCAGAAGAACACGCACCTTCCTGAGCTGTGAAAAATCCCTTGTTTTCCTCCTTTTTTGGAAGCAGTAAGGCAGGCATCTCCAGCTGAAGAGTTCTCCAGACTGGATCCTGTCTACTTTACAATCAAGAAGAAGCAAAGGGACACAGGAGCTATTTTATACTTAAAAGAACCTCAGACAAGTGAAGAAAAAAAAAAATCTTGATAGAAACTGTCATCCATAATAGCAACGAGAAGCAGGCCTGGGGAGCCTCATTTATATAAGCAGCAGCCTCTGTGTGAGTGAGACTCGAGCCCTGTATCTCCAGAGATATTTTGATTTTGACAGGCCTCTCAAAGATATGCCTACGTATATCTATATGAAGATGCCCCAGGAGAGCCTTCCAATCTGGGTACAGGGTTTGCCACTGCTAATCCAAACCCCTGCCGTTCTGGCTGTTGTCACTGCTCGGAGTTGTTACAGAAGTGTTACTAATAGTCATAGTCTGGATGACTTCACAGAAAATGTCTTCTTTTATCCTTCTCTGGATGATGGCCACTTACCGTTTGCTATTAGCAAGGCTCAGCTGGAGTCTGTATCGAGTAGTGGATGAAGAATTTCTTCCTGAAGTTTGGTGTCTTGGTCTTCTGAATTTCTGATACTGTGGCCTTTTTCGTAAAAGGCCAAGGATGGTAAACACACTGCAAGCAAGGTGTTGATTAATATGTCGCCAACTGACATCCCCCTTTTTATCATAGGCACTTTTCTCTTCTCTGCTTGAACTCCTTTGACTTGCTTGAACTATCTGCAATCCCCTAAATGGCTAAACTTCGTTGGGTGTTGCAATAGTTTCTAACTATAGCTAACCCAGCTCATCAGGGTATTGTTCTATTTAATTGAAGTTTGTAATACACTTTGAGATCATCGTATGAAGTGTGAAGTATAATCACAAGCGCAAAATAGAATTGTTTATAATTCATAATGTGGTAGCAGCCAGGCCAATGGGGGAAAGTTGAAAGGAAATTCAAACTGTATCCTTTGCCCTTTGAAGTTTGACTGCAACTTGGCACATGCATCAAAGAGGTGACTAGTTTCCTTTAGGGTTTAAGTCTCTGCCGAAAAAGATGAAATCAAAAGCAATCTGAGGTTCCCAATTAGATTTATATTAAAAATCAATAATGAAGACCCTAAAAAGGCATACTGATGACTCTTGAAACACTCGCAAAATGAGTGCAGCTCATTTAAGGGCAGGCTGTGATAATCCTTGCTTTGATTAGTAGCTTATATCGTGAGTAGACCCATTTAATTCAGTGCAGCAACTTACTGAATAAAGTGCTGTTCAGCAGAAAATCAGTCCAGCCTTGTCCTTACGATTCCATGTGTAGCCCAGAGGGTGGGCTACCTGCCCTGTGCCGGGCCAAGCAGCCCCTTGGACCTCCCCAGGCAGCAGAAGCAAGGGTATCAGCAGCTGCACCCAGGTCTTCTGTAGGCTGGCTGTATTGTAGAGGTTGAGTTCCTGGCCATACATTGTAACTATACGTGATTCTAAAGGCTTCAAAGATTTCCTGCTGTGTTCTTTCGTGCTCATTCATTTTTGCCCTCGGGGTGAAATAATTTGTTTATGCAAATACAATAAATGAGGAACCTTAATGGCCTCCCGAGATGGTGGTGTAACTTAGGTGTACCTGATAGCATCAGAAATTCGCCTCAATGGTACTTAGTCAGGATACAGGTGCACCATGTATTTGATTTACATCTCATGTTAAAGCGTTATTCTTCTATACTGCAGCTCAATCACTGTGTCTAATCGCAGGGTTTAGTAGTTTAAACAGCACACGAAGGGCCCAATTCAATTAAAAAATGTCCTGCAGAAATAATTTTTTCATTGTTTTCCCAGCCTTGTGCAGGCTTCTGCAGAGAAGCTGTGATTATTTTTTTTTAATAAGATGGGCCCTAGGATTCCTTCTATTCCAAGGCATCCTCTCCCTTTCTTTTTCACACGTTTTGTCATATCCTTAGTACATAAGGGGATTCTGTTGTTGTAAAACTTGCATTTACAAAATTCATGTTTTACTTCTTCATTAGTTTGAAAATCTTTGGAACACAGTAGATTTCAGTGCTGGTAGATGATTGAAGTCTGAGGACTTTTTGAAGAAGTTCAGCTCAGAACTTGTAACGATGCCATCAGTCATTCCCAGTGCAACTAGTTCTGCAACTTCTACCGAGCCAGCTACCCGTGCCATGCAGGACCCACGCGTGTCTTCTCCACCTGAACGTCCCAAGACATCATCTTCTGTAGTAGGGCAAAAGAGCGTAAGTGTGGTTCTTTTATGAATTTACTGGATTTTCATTCCACTGCATAGGCTGAAAATGATACCCGTGGAACTCAGTGAAGGTATTCCTATTGATTGGCCGTGAAATCAGGCACAACCACCTCAGGAAATTTGCAAAACAGTGTTACAATGACAAAAATTGGTCCAGATGATAGTAACTCCACTGAAGTCAAAGGATAGATATCAATTTATAGCAATAGCATTCCCTGCTGGTACCTTACACATATCCGTTAGAGCTATATGGCAAATAAAATTTCTGTGGTTAAGCACAATCATATTTCTGAGAACAAAGTAAACAGCCCAAATTACAAAGGCCCAATAGCTCCAAAAGCAGTGTGAAAAAGATAGATGGCTTATTTGTGGTCATCTGACAAAGCTAGGCAGGATTGGCAATTGCAATTTTCTAATACATGTTTGCTAGCCTGTTCAAAAACATTCTGGTGGTCTTGTCTGCTTTCTGGTGGACACCAGATTACAGCTGTTAATTCCTGATGGTCTCACTGATAGACTTGCCATGAAGGCCAGTAATCTGAGAGAGGTAAGAGAGGTGGATTAGGAATGCAGTGGTTGCACTTTTGCATCTATACCTATACTTCATGTCAATAATGCACTTTGGTCCTCTCCACTGCCATGCTGGCCTCTTACCCTAGTGCTAGAATTCAGAGAAAGGTGGGGAAATTATTACAGGCAGAAAAATTAAATATCCCCTTTTTAGAGCTGCACCTACCTATTCCATGTTCTTTGGCTACAACTAAACCTACAACAGAAAAATAAAATATTTAGAGTTATTCAGTGCCTGGAACATGCTGGGTTTTTCTGACTACTTCTACATGGAGATGTTTAGCTACTGAAAAAGAAATAACAGATTGAGCAAATTAAAGATGCAAACAACTTGTCAGGCTGGTAAATCTAAACATTGGCCCATTGCTAGCTCAATTATCACTTTAACTATAGGTTCTTTCTTGAAAAGCCCAGACAATTAGCTACATGCATCCTTCGTGCTTTGATCCAGTTCCCAGAGAAAGCAAGGAAAAATTCCTTGTTACTGTCTGTGAACGCTAGATTGAGCAGTGTAAGACAATAGGAAGGGAATTTCTAAGGAGGGTCTGGGGAGATTTTATTGCGGCTTTCCAGTACCTAAAGCGGCCCTACAGGAGAGCTGGGGAAGGACTTTTTACTAGGGCATGTAGTGATAGGACGAGGGGGAATGGCTATAAACTGGAAGAGGGCAGGTTTAGATTAAACATTAGGAAGAAGTTTTTCACTTTAAGGGTGGTGAGGCACTGGAAGAGGTTGCCCAGAGAGGTTGTTGAGGCCCCATCCTTGGAGATGTTCAAGGCCAGGCTGGATGTGGCCTTGGGCAATTTGGTCTAGTGGGAGGTGTCCCTGTCTATGGTAGAGGGGTTGGAACTCGATGGTCTTCAAGGTCCTTGCCAACCTAAACCATTCTATGATTCTATGAATTTAAGTCTCCCCAAACCTATGGCTGTTGAAAAGACCCCGACCAGCCTGAACACCAAGGATGAATGTTCCTGCAGCATTCATTGCATGGAAACGTGGGCAAGGCTTCAGCAAGTCTGCACCAGTGAGACCCTCAAGAGAGCACTGGGAAGTCTCACTAAATATGAGATTATACATTGGATCTAGAAGCATAAATATCACTTGTGCACATATTGTATAGTGGTAGGCTCAGGCTTTGCTTCCAGCTCAACCACAGTACTGCTGAGGCAGCAATGAAAAACCAAAATGACACTGAGGACTGGGATCCTCTCACGTTATTCATTCTGTGGCTCTGCGTAGGACCAGAAGTTCTGCCAGTAACAAATCAAAGCAATGTTATTTCTTAATTCAGTGGCTTTCCACTGCTTGGTTTGTTTGTTCCAAGATGGCACTACATAGCTTTTTTTGAACACAGTATCTGTCACTTAATAAGAAACAATTTTGAGAAACTATAAATGATTTAGAAATTAAGCCAAATGAATAAAAAAGTGGTCAAGGCCTATTAAATTAATAGCATCATTTTGACACTAAGAGCATTCTCACATTTTTACCTACATTTTTGCAGACACAATTCAAATCAGACTTAGAAGTGGCTCAAATGGTACATTAACCTCAAGTCCGGAAGACCAGAAACTGGATTTGTCGTCTGGTGGTTTGTCTACACAACCAGTAAAACTTAACAGAAAATAATGACCATTATGTCTTGCTTTTAGATACCAGCATCCGGTCGTCCTCAGACAACAACCACTTATTCTGCACCTGTCCTTAACTGTGAAACAATAGAAAATAAGATAAGAAAGAACATCCAACAGTCCTGGAGAGGCATATTGAAAGTGTGCAAAGAGAAGGATGTCAGCAAGCTAGGAGAAATACCAGTGGCAGAATTTCTAGGTTTGTTACAGTCTAAAAAGTGCTTTATTCATTCTCAGATGCGTTCTGTTTTCTTTCTGGTGTCCCAGCCGTAGGAATATCTGGCCTCTAGTAAGAGGCATCCACTGCATGGTTGCTCCAGGTACCACCCTGCTATTGCAGAACAGAATAGCTTACAGTAGCCTTGGGTGCAACATGTTCAGGTCCCTATTCAGAATTAACTACTCCTTGGAAAAGGAGTTTAGTTTGGTGGCTTTGCTTGTGGGTACTTCTGGTATGCACACAAGTTATCTCATCACCTTCCCAATACACTACCCTTACCTGTGCCTGGGGCTATTTGCATAAAGAGATTCACCAGTCTTTTCCTTGTGTGTGCTTCTGGTTGCACTGGTCTTGATGGTTGAATGCCTGCTGATTTGAAAGTGCCCTGGATTTTACTCCTATAAGAGCTGAGCTATGCTGCTCTTCTGTTGTGTTCTCTTCAAGAGAGAGGATTTTCTGTGCCTTTGTTAGGACGTTTGCATGTGTGATAAGACAGTGCGCACCTGTATAATTGAATGCAAAGTCCTGGCTCTAAGAACCTGTTAACTTGTTAGATCTTTTATCTCAGTTAATGTCAGGGAGTGCTTCTTGTGTGTTAAAAATCAAAATGACACGGTATCAGTCTCCTGAAACCCTGTAAAATGTGAACTACCACCCCGTAAGTATAGGCATGTGCATATACCTGCATATAGCAAGATCTGCATAACACACTTATGCAGCAGTCACTGCAACTGATGACCTGTCAACAGATACCTGCTAAAACTCATGAACACAGGACAATGATTGGCTTTGTTTAAGAATGACAAAATAAATATTCTTTCTTTGCATTTCAGATATAGCAGAGAAGTTCAATTTGGATTTAAGTGAAGGGGAAATTAAGGAAATAACAACAAAATATGATTTAAAGAAAAATGGAAGATTTGCATACTATGACTTCCTTCAGAGTTGTATCTTGTTGTTAAAACCACAGGAAAGCTCACTGCTACAGAGGGTAATTATACAAAAGCCACAAAAACCGGTAGGTACAAAACTTTGTGGTGGGTTTACCCTGGCCAGACACCAGGTGCCCACCAAAGCCACTCTATCACTCCCCCTCCTCAACTGGACAGGGGAGAGAAAAAGATAACAAAAGGCTTGTGGGTCAAAATAAGAACAGGGAGAGATCATTCACCAGTTACTGTCATGGGCAAAACAGACTCGACTTGGGGAAATTAAATTAATTTATTGCCAATTAGAAGTCACAGTAGGGTCATAAGAAATAAAACCAAATTTTAAAACACTTTCCCCCCACCCCTCCCTTCTTCCTGGGCTCAACTTCACTCCCAATTTTTTCTACCTTTCCCCTCCCCTCCCAAGTGGTGCAGGGGGGAGGACTCCTCACCTCCTTACACTCTTCCCCTGCTCCAGTGTGGGGTCCCTCCCATGGGAGACAGTTCTCCATGAGCTTCTCCAACATGAGTCCTTCCAGAGGGTGAAGTCCTTCACAAACTGCTTCAGTGTGGGTCCCTTCCATGGGGTGGAGTCCTTCAGGAACAGATCCACCGATCCACCCCCAGCGGGGTCACGAGTCCTGCCAGCAAACCTGCTCCAGAGTGGGTTCCTCTCTCCATGAGGCCACAGGTCCTGCCAGGAGCCTGCTCCAACATGGGTTTCCCGTGGGGTCTCAGCCTTCTTCAGGCATCCCACCTGTTCCACCATTAACCTCCATGGGCTGCAGGGGGACAGCCTGTCTTGCCATGGGTCTTCAGCATGGGCTGCAAGGGAATCTCTGCTCCGGCATCTGGAGCCCCTCCTACCCCTCCTCCTTCACTGACCTTGGTGTCTACAAAGTTGTTCCTCTCACATATTCTCACTCCTTTCTTCTGGCTGCCGCTGCGCAGGTTTTTTTCCACCTTCTTAACTATGTTATCACAGAGGTGCTACCACCATCACTGATGGGCTCAGTCCTGGCCAGCAGTGTGTCCATCTTGGAGTCAGCTGGCATTGGATCTGTTGGACACGGGGAAATCTTCTAGCAGCTTCTCACAGAAGCCACCTCTGTAGCCACCCCACTACCAAACCTTGCCACGCAAACTCAATACAAGCTTATAAAAATCATAATGACAGTTTTTTTTCAGTTTCTGCTGTACTGACAGGATATTTCATGGCCTGTTCCTATAGTCACTTTATGCAGGGACTTTCCAGCATTCTCTTATTTAATCCCATTATATTAATTGCCTAGTATTCGTTTGGCGTCTCCTTCAGTTGGAGGACTTAACTCCTTGGGATCATGCTCTATGTATCCAGGCTATATGGTAAATTGGCCAAATGTGCTAAAATTTGGATAATGATTCCAAATAGAAAACACAGGAGCTTTTGTTGAACTAAATAAAAATCAAGCTAGAAATAAAAAGTGGATGGGATGTGTCTTAGGATGGCCCTGACTAGAGATTTCGTCAGTAAGCTGTGCTGCTGCTCCACACCCAGCACTGTAAGAAAAGCCCAGAGGAAGCTCTCACTTGCACTGCTATTCATGGCTACTAAAACCATCTAGTAGCCAGGACTGGCCAGCACACATTGCGCCCCTGTGGCTCTCCCTGCCATGCATCTGCTTCCCAAGCTGCGATGAAGAGGCAAAAGGGTCCCAGCAAGGCAGCTACGCGCAGGCTGCTCCCCTCTGCCCACGGTAGCACTCTAGGGCAGAAAAGATCAGAAGAGACGCAGAAATCTGGCTCTCATGGGCCAGAAAGGAAGGCATCGGTAATAGCATCCCAATCGAGTTATGTAGTAGGAACAGTGCCAAATTCCAAATCTGCTCATTCAGCGAGCCTGCTACATTTTTAGGCTGTTTCTAACTGTGCCTAATTAGTTTAGATATGGTTAGTAGCAGCGTTTTATAGAGAAATTACATTACCAAACTGTTTTCAGATGTGGAATGAACAGATTGCTACCAAGGTATGAAGAGAGTATCGTTAGGAATTATCAAGTATTCACTACCAGTAAGGACAGTAAGGTAAAACTATTAAGTTTTGCCTGAAAGAACTTCATTATCTTACATAAGGTTTCTTTTATACACAAATCTGATGCTGTAAAATTCCATCCCAGTATTCTGGAGTAGATAAAGCAGAAATTTTTTAAGTGCCTGTGTAGTTGTCTCAAATAATATTTATTTTATTTATTCTATTCAGAAAAAATAATGAATGTCTCAGTCCGTGTTCTGAGCACCTTTATACAATGTTATATTCAAAGTTAAATTTCCTCATAGATTGTTCAGCCCATTCCACCTAGTAAGTGTACAGATACACATCAAAAGGAATAATAAAAAAAATACCCCACAAATAAAACCTTTTTTTGGGGGTGGCAGGCACAATTCCTTTTCTTTCTCAAAAGCCTGAGAAAATCCATGGCCTAGGGCTTTACAGAAGTACCCAGGCTCTAAGCTATGAAAATAACCCAAGTTGAAGTCATTGTAAAATGCCCTTTCCCTCCCTTCAGCCCACAAGGATACTCAGTATTGTGGGTTGGAAACTGCATTATTAACGTACCCACTGATTCCTCAGCTACATAGTCTGAAGGAGGAATACCCCAAGAGCACAGAAAGAAGGTGCAGTGTTCCCCCAGGCCTCTTACGACTCGTGTAGGTGCAACACAGCCTCTGTGCCTGTGTAGTAGATGTATAAAGCCAACTGTGCATTTCAGAGAATTGTAGAACCATAGAATGGTTTAGGTTGGAAGGGACCTTGCAGATCATTGAGTTCCAACCCCCCTGCCATGGGCAGGGACACCTCCCACTAGACCAGGTTGCTCAAAGCCCCATCCAGCCTGGCCTTGAACACCACAAGCAGATGCTTGTAGAGACTACAGTGGCACGTGCAAGGGGCACAAAAGGGGCATCAGCCACTTACCCAATTACAATAATAAATACCAGGAGAGCGCAGGGGAAAGCTGAGATGGGAGCTGTATTCTAAGGAAATGGTAGAGCAGATCCAGATCCCACAGGTGGATTGGGGTTTGCTCTTTTTTCCCCAAAGTCCCTTACTCATCATTCCAGTGTTAAAGCTTTGTACAAGTAGAATTAAGTTTGCCTTAATGAATAGTTCTGCAGTTCACCCGTGTTCAGGGTACATCAGTGTAACAAGTTCAGCCAGGTTAAAAAAAAAAGGCCCCAACATATCCCAAGGAATAGTGACCCTGTGGTCCAGCTGTGGAACTGCAGAAAGGTTCAAAAGCTGGTTACAAGGCATTTTTTGTACTGGTGAAAGTGTACAGTAGGGTCTTGTTTTTTCTTAAATATTGTACCGCTCCCACAGTTGGCTTATGCACTGGGTCACTTTTCAGCAAAAATTTCACTCTGAAAAATGAACACTGTAGAGAATTAAAAATGACTGAAAGAGGGAGTTGAAACAAGGACAAGCATAATACATGTGAAAACACTGAGATCTGAGCAGAAGTAACACTGACTTCAGAATCAGTTTCAAATAATGAAAAGTTAGGGTTTTGACAGTGATTAAGTAAATATACCATCTGCACTTCCCAAGAATATCAAAATGTTATAGGTTAAAATAATCTTGTGTAAGCAGTATCTTGCAATAATTTGCAAACAAGTATTCGGCAGCCAGTCACAGATTAAGGCAGCATTACAGTCCAACACCTTTTCATTCTGCATTATAGTTGTGCCCAGTTGTGTGCATGATGCTGTTAGTAAATGCAAGTCTTTCTCATCCAACTTTGTTAGCTGAGTCCTGGACCACAAACCATGTCATTCTTCAGTGCAATGCTGAGAATTCAGCCCCAGATCTTGCACTGCTGGAGGCCAATGAAGCGAACCTTTAAATCCTATGATGAAAGTCATACTGGACTCTTACGTATTGCAGATTTCAGACAAGTAAGTTGCATTTAGCAATTAATAGTCAGAAAATTACAGTAGCCTAATCTGAGCTTCCTGACTGAAAGTTTTCTGAAAAATTGTACTGAACCAGAACGCATAAAGTCATCCTGGCCTCTCTGTGACTTTAGCTCTGACCATGACCCACGGTAATCTTTCTCCACATGTGATTACATGTCCTTGAGGCCTGAGCTCTTGGTGGGGTCCTGAACAGACAAAACAGAGAAAAACCTTAGTCCCTATACAAAGTTTAAATGTGTATCTTTCACAGATGCATGGGAAAGGAATAGAAGCGTACCTTCTGGTAGGTCTCCTTTCAGGCACTTTCAGGATCCTGTGACCCTCCAACTGGTGTGGTCCCTTCTAAATGTGGACCAGGCTCCACCAATCCCCACCTGAGAGTCTCTGTTTCTGCTTTCTATCTCTGCTTTTCTGTGTGCAGCATAGTTTTGTACTAGGCAGGGGATTAATATTCTCTGCGAATATTTCAGTATTTTGTATCTCCTCAAATACACACCTGTGTATACTGGATATCAGTGATTCTTCATCTAGATCCATGGGGATTTTGATTGTTCTTAGCTGTACTGGTTTCAAAATCTTTGACATTGTTCTAACTAGGAATAACAATCACTATCTGTTTTGGAGTAATTCGGAATATTTGCTATTCAACTGCAAGAAAAAAAAAATAAAGCGTGGGGCCCTAAACCTATTTAATGCTGCGTGCATTGGGACACCCCTTGGTATCGCTACTGCTTCAAAGAACTGATCAACCAGTGGACGGGATGCTCAATCACAGCAAGCGAATGCTTGGCTGCAGTAAGCGACAATAAGGTGTGCTTCTGACACTCCCCTTCCCCTGGAGCTGCAGGAAGCCAGATTGTTGCCTGGTAGACTATAAACCTGGTCAATTATATCAGTCATAGAAGTGCTCTTTTAAATCTTTACTTATTTAGGACTGGGGGCAACGTGATACGTTCTGGCAACGCCACAGAGCTGAAACCTGAGTCCCTGCCTGCCCCTCTGTGAAGGCCGAGGAGCAAGTTGTCTCCATGTGGCTGCATCAACTTCATGCCTGAGGCTCCCTGTCTATCACTGCAGCTTTCTGACTGCCTGGGCACTGCCTCAGCAGACCAGGCTCAGGGGAGAAGGAGGGAAGACCAGGGCCGTTGCATATGATTTTAAGTTGTCGTGTTCCTCTAGGACATGTGATGATTGCCATTTCTAGTTAAAGCAGTGTCAACAACTTTCAGATCAAGCTTCCCAACATGATATAACCTAAGCAAAAAAAAAAAAAAAACAAACAACCCCAAAACACAAAAACCAATAAAACCCCACCAAACACCAAAAAACCCCAAAAAATAAATCCTTGTGGATCTAGATCAAGAAGCAATCCTTGATTCCAAAATCCTACTACAAAGGTGTTAATCTGCTGTTTGACAAGATATCAAGTGATTTGTGGAGGTACAGATCCCTTTATCTCCTAGGTAACTTAATTTACTGAAACGGGGAAATTAGCTCTCTACTGACATCAGTAACACTGCTATTTATGGCTGTACTATCTGCAAGGGGTCATTAGCGATTTCTGATGCTGAGCTGTTAAGGGGGGAAAGGGGTAGACTGAGTTTGCCAGAAAACTAATGACAACTGGCATAGCACACAAGGACAGGTTTTCAGGGTTTAAATTCCCAAGTGCCTCTAAAACCTGAAGTAATCCTCAGAAATTAATGCATTATTTTCATTCATGTTAGGGCATTGAGAACATTTAAAACTGTTTAAAACATTTTTTAAACATTTAAAAGTGCTGAAAAAAAACACACAAGGTGAAATATTTGAAAGGTGCAGGTACCTAACCTGGCTTTTAGCATCAGGTGAACCAGATGTGTACTGTTCAAGTTGGGTTCTCACTGAAGTGTTAGGAAGGCACGCCTACAGGCTGACCATTTGTCCCATGAAAATTAAAAGCACTGAGTGCATCATGGGCATTATTATTTACATAGGGGTTTGCACAGTTTGAGTGACTGGATTATTCCTTCTGTTTCTCTGGATGCAAAGGCTGCAGATCATCCAAGGAGGACAGAAAGGAAGAAATCCCACCTCTTCGTCTCATCTCCAGATAGCAGCGAAAGCCTTTTAAGCATGTATTTTTTGTAAATTAGCTCTGATGCACATGGGTGCTACCTATTTCCCAATGCTCCCTCAGGCAAGTCCTAGTTGGGCTACTGGAGGAACCCCTGAGTACGCAGGTTTTCAGATATGCATCCCAGGGAGCCAGTATTGGCATGGGAAGACAGATAACAAAGGAGGGTTTCATTCTCTAATATTCTGAGAAACCTATGCCAGAGTGGAGATGAATCATCAAGTTAATTTGTAAAGAAATTTTAGCCCGATAAACTAATATTTTTTTCTTCTTGCTCACCGAAAGCACTGGAATAAATTTTCAAGTTGTGTCTGTCTTTTGTAGGTTCTCCGTGAGTACAGCATCAACCTAACTGAAGAGGAGTTATTCAACATTTTGGAATACTATGATAAAACTTTGTCTTCAAAAATATCCTATAATGATTTTCTCCGGGCATTCATACAGTAGGATTTGGTCAAATGCAGGAAACTGTAGATAAAGACAGTGACTGATTTATAATTTTGAATTTCAAACTAATAAATTAATTGAGTATGGCTTTTTTGTATCTCTTTATTAGAAAACTCAAAATACTTTTAAATTCTGACAGTGGTCCTGTGTTGTGGATTAAATCTACATAGTGAGGGAATTAATTTTGCATAATCCATTTATCAAAGAAGAAAAATACAACAATTAACATTGTCAAAATAATGCTTCCTAAGTCGTCTCCACAAGCAATTCATTTAAGGAAATTCTTTTTTTAATTTTACGCATTTTATTAATGACATACTCTTAACTTCAGTAAAAAGGTTTACAAGGCATACTATTCAATTTCCTCAATTGTCATTTTCCAAGTGTGTTAGTTTTCACATTATCCTTCATTATTCAAAAAAATCATCGTATTTCTCGGTGCATCTTTTTCCGCTACTTGCAGTGCTATATTTGTATTGGCAAAGACACGTTAATATGGTCTGGCTATTGAAACGGGAGCAGATGCCAACTGTGTGGGGACACCACACCACACCTTTCTCTGTTAAAACTCTTCTTCTACATCCTTCAGCACAGTTTAGAAAAGAAGCTCCTTTACCCATAGGCATTGGCTTCTTAACTGCAGAGGAATATTGCCAGTGTTAGCCATGAGGTTTATTTTTTTAAAGATACTACATATATATATATTTATACAACAAACTGCGAGTAAAACCCATCGTTAGATTTCCCTGTTCTGGAAAAGTTCTGTTTGAATATCTTGTAAGGTGCCTACATGTTGGTGAGGAAATTAAAAGATAATTGTTTGACTGTTGAACTCTCGTGATAATTAAAGGATAAGATGATCATCAGAGCCTGCTTCCTGGGATTATATCAGCAGTTAAACACTTACCCGCTCTGAAGAACTGTTAGAGAAATTATTCTCTGCCTGGTTCCTGAATTAGTTTTCACTGGTACACAAAGAGCCCTGTCCTCATCACCTAAATTGATTCAGTACCTTTCTTTCGCCAAGTAATATATAAAGATATGTCAACAAAAATTAATAATAATAAAAAAAAGAGCAAGTTATGTGTGTACAAACGCACATGCACACACACATACCTATATCTCTCTCAAGGGAAGTCTTTGTAATGGGAAAGGGCAGAGGAACATAATCCTGGTTTACTTATATCTAGTGAACGTGTGAACCATTGAGAAGAATCTGAAAGACTCCCAGTGCAGAACCGCTTAATGCATATTTTTTCTGATAAAATGTTTCATTGCATTTGGAGCTTTTCAGGAGATATTTTGTAGAGTTTGAGTAAAAAGCGTTGGGGAGGTTTCAGGTTGGATGCTCTGTATTGTTTTCTTTCAGTTTCTAAGCTTTGTGTAATTTGTACTCTACTATAAAATAAATACATTTGGAATGAGATATATTTGAAATAGTAACATAAAAAATGCTCGCTAGACTTTTTTTCCAAACCTGATGGCTATCTGTAAGTGCCTGACATTGCTGCTTAGCTGTTTGATTAACAGAGGAGACTGAAACTGCCGTTATTTAAGAATGTTCTCCCGTGCTAAATCAACACAACTCTTCCTAGTGCCATTAATAGAAAGCATTGGGTTGTAAGAATACACGTACAGATATCAGCAAGTGACTAAAAAGGGCTGGTCCTGGTTCAGTTGCCTGAACACAGGCGCTTGTAGGCTATTCCTGCCTGACCGCCCCGGCAGGTCCTGTGGTCACAGCGGCCGGCCCCACGGGGACATGCCCAGTGTTGGAGGGCATCTCAAACCGCAGCAGGTAACTGAGCTTCAGCAACTGAGCTGAGCCCAAGGGGCGTTCAGTTTAGCCCCTCTTAAGATCCAATTAGCCTATTTTTGTTTAATTTTATCCTTGTACCCAGTGTGAAGCCTCAAACTGCTCTGTTCCTTAATGGCAACTTCTTTCCTCCTCCCCGGTCAGGTGCAACGTGGCTGATTTAATTTCTGTTCTTATTTCATACAGTTTATGTGCTGAATTAATCATTCATATTAATTAAAGAATTAATTGCTCTTTGGAATACCTGTGATTATAACACAAATATTACATTAATTATTTTTAAAATAGTGGATTTCACTGTACTGATCTAAATGAGGAGGAAAAAAAAAAAAAACTAAAATTATTATTGGGCAGTGTTGTTTGGAGGGGGTTGTTTTGGTTTTGTGGGTTTTTTTCCCAAAATCTCCTATACCGCCTGTTTGATAATTGGGTCCAATTTTATATCAAATACAATGACAATTCCATCCCTGCGCTGCACTGCTTTCTGGCATGGAGTGCAGCTACCATGTTTCACAAAGGGATGCAAGGAGTTGTGTCCCTTGCTCTGCCACTTTCAAGATACCCACTGTCTTCAGGAGAAGCGATGCGGTGAGGAGATGGATGTCTCCGGGTTCCCTGACACATCCTGCCAGAGGATTTTTCATTAGTTCGACTGGCAGGAGTATCAAATCCAACAACTCTGAAGGGATTAAAGAACAATCTTTTTGCTGTACAAACAAATCAAATCCTGCTGGTTTTTTTTAGTGAGTTCTTAAAGGCGGGGATGGCACTTACCAACTGTTTATCCAACCTCAAAAAAAAACACAACAACCCAAACCCAAACTGAATTTCAACTGCCAGTGTTTTGAAATAACTGAGGTAATTTTTCATATCAAAATTGCAAACTGCTGGATGGACAAACTTTGTAATAGAAGAGGACTTTATATTTTTGCAGCCGTTCCCCCTAGCCAAGGGTCAGCCACCTGGCCGGGAGGGGCTGGCAGAGATCCCCTGAGTTTCCACTGCGAGGCAGATAATGTCAGTGGGATTGAGCATTATCCCAGGATAATGGTCTCCCGCTGCTGTATGTAAACACTGCAGTAAAGCTGAGGCGGTTTTGAAAATAAAACCATCAAACACAGATCTCGGCAATTTGTTTTTCAAGGGGAGGACAGCGATCCCGTGTCTTCTCCGGCGGGATTGCCGGTTGCTCTGTCGTCCCTGGGGGCAGCAGCACAGGCATATGGGCCACTGCTTTGGGTGGGAGGCAAGGGGTGCAGTGCCTCGGAGGGATTTTGGCAGCACAGGTCCCTGCCAGCGCTCCCTGCAAAGTGGCATCTGCTGCCACTGAAATGCAGCAGCAGCAGGTGACGGCCGTCAAGGAGCTAGGAGCCATTGTTGGCCATTCCCTCCAGACATGCCTCTTCTGGGGTCAGTAGAGAAAAGCCCTTAAGCAAGGTCTCTCACCTCCCTCCCCTAGGGTCCCACTGCGGGCGTTCGGACGGGAGGTCTTCGCCCCTACGCGCAGGAATGGGGGCATGGCCTCCTGGCTGCAGCCCAGCCCTTGCACTTGGCTTTGCGGTGGGTGGCCGTCAAGCATCATCTGACTGGGCTAATGAAGCTTAACACTGTCGGGCGTCCTGCGGGGCATGGAGGGAGGCCAAGCAGGCGTCCGCCTTCAGCAGCCTCTCCAGCAAAGCCTGGAGAAAGATCCCCAGGGTCCGCTCAGCTGTGGACAACAACCTGCTCCCTTTGAGAGCCTTGCCAGACCCCTCCACCCAGCATTTCCCTGCTGCTCTGTTCCCGAAACCAGCAGTCCTCAGGACCGCTGTGGGCCTCTCCTGAGCTGGAGATGAAAGGTTTGCAAAGACTAAAGGAAAAGGGGTCCTTCAGTAGCATTTTAACATCATTATAAATTTTTGTTGCCTTCACTCCAGAGCAGAATAAGCTAATTGAAGGGGACAGAAGTCACTAACAAATCTGCTGCTGCACAGGAGCCTCCCATCACTGCCAGGTCACCCACTCACCAGACCCCTCTTGTTTCCCCACCTGCACAGCTGAGCTTTGCCCATTGCTATGTCCCTCAACAAAGCAGCCCCTCACTCATGGCCACACGGCATCTCCAACAGGGGCTGGAGAGCAGGCAGCTCTAGCTCTCCACTGCTAAATCACACACTCTGACTGTTCAGAAAACCTTTTCACAGAGAGATAATGCCACAGAGAAACGGTCCCCGCTCCGTGCCAGTGTGAGGAGAAGCCCCTCAGAGCCACAGCCTGCCCAGAGGGATCAGGTCACCACCAGCACCAGCCATTATGACCCTGCACAGCAAGAAAGTTCACACCAGCCAAGCACCATAGTAGGGCTTCCAGGCAATTAAAATACAATATAACTATCCCTCAACAAAGAGACAGAGATTTTCATGCATAATCAGACTATAGAAGAAGAGAGAGCACCTGCCCCTGGATTTTCTTCCTCCTCCATCTTTCCTCTCAGGTTTTTCTCACTTTGAAGCCCCTGCAAGTGTGGATGCTCACCAGTAACATGTGCTGCTCATTAGCACATCCTCAAGCCCACCTGAGCTACTTGGCCTCTCCAAATCCCCTGCCCCGAGGCCAGCCTGCTGCTATTGCCAGGCAGCAGGGGCTGGTTTGGGGGAAGGGGCGGCTCCGGGGGAGCCCTTTTGGAGCAGGGCAGGACAGCTAAGGCTCAAAAGCTGTTTGCCAGACATGTGAGGAAGCAGGACAAGGGAAAGGAAAGATGGGAATCAGTCAGAGGAGGGAAGGAAGAAGAGGTTTGTAGGCTCTGTACCAGCTATTTCTGTCTCAGGGCTTGGCATGGAGCCTGCGAGAGCAGAAATAGAGCCTCTCTGTGTTCAAAGGATGAAGAAGTAGGGGAGGGCAGAGGGAGGACTGAGGCTAGGCAAAGGAACAGAAGAGAAAGGAAAGAAGGAAGAGACTCGTATGGGCCATCTTCTACACCAGCAACTGGCATAAAGCCTGCAAGACTAGAAATAGAGAGTGCTTCAGAAAAAAAATAAAAATCAAACTTCTTCAGAATGCAGTCATTTCATATGTTTGATTAAGGCATTACTGTGTGAAGTGCCTATATGTCTGTGCAATTACTGTTTTTATCTGGATGATATGCAGCAGGTCATGAGCAGTAAGGGATGCTCCAAACACAGGAAAATGAAAATCAGATTTTAAA